CTCTGGGGATATACAAAAATGGATACCCATTCTCGTTGCACCAAATGCACTCAAATTCCTCAGCTCTGGGGATACGTAGATGTCCATCCAACTGGGTATCCTATCTGGGTATTCCTCTCGATACCCAAGTTGTGGATATTATGACATCCCTCTGTTCTTCATAAATTTTTTTAATATTTTTTCTCATATCGACTTGTACCTCATAAAGTTGATGCATGCTTTTTCCCATATCGACTTGTAATTCGTATAGTCTATTTACTTTTTCATTTGTACCTATTTGTTGTTGTTTTATTTCCATTAACATATTATTAATTGTTGATTGTCGGCGTACATTACGTTGACGAATATGATTATCCTAGAGAAGAAAATATGAATAATTGTTCAAAAAACAAAGTAAAATCTTATTGTTTCCAAAAGCTACTATATGTACCGTAGGATAATCATCGAGAGTTATCCACATGTCTTCATCACTATATTCATTCAATTTTTGATGATCCATCGACTCGAAAAATTAATATTATAATACAAGTGTATATCAGTCGTCACTCATTTATATACTTCATCACGAAAGACGAAACACTGGCGGACGGCACGTTAATTTGTCCATTGTTTGCAAGAAAATATGAATGTAAAAGAAGCAAAACAACCGTTTTTTCCCTATCATATACTCAATGGACGGCAATAAAAAACATGTATTTGCTAGTAGAGGCCAATCAATATTATCTTTTTTCTCTAGGAATATTACTATATTTACTTTTTTATTTTCGTTCAACGATTCCCAGGTTGACCAAAACGGACTCGTTTACGGTCTGTTTATCGACGGTAAACGATATCAAAATGGTACATTTACGGCAGTAAATAGGCCGTATTTGCCCGTAATACCTGGTGCAGTAATACGGCACCAGAAACGGGACTGAATTTTCATGGTTTACGGCTGTTTGTGCTCCGCACTCTCATGATAATACGGTTCGTATTACTGCGCCAGATATTACGGCAAACTTTCGCCCGTAAAATAGTCGTAAAGTAACCGTCAACGGCCGTATACTGACCGTGCTGTTCGATCTGGATTTATAATCACCCAGGATAATGATTCCAGAAGCAGTATTCCGTGAATTTCCGGCGAAAACCTGCAAGAAACTCGCTGTCTCAGACCGAAACCCACCGGGAATTTTCCGGAATTCGATGCAGAAATCCGGAAACCGTATCCGGCTACCAGTTTTGACAGGTTCCTGTCGATTCCGGCCGGAACCGGATAAACCCGGTCACCGGATCCTTTCACAGGAATACTGCTTCCATGAAATCTCCGGAATACCACAGAACCGGCCGTTTCCGGGACCGAAATGTTCGACTTGGACATTTATATGTTCATGTTCATTCGAATCTTGATTTTTATAAAGAAGTTGACGTTCAATTATATTAGCATGATAATCTACTTGGTCAATTCGTGTTGATTCAAATATTGAACTCTTTCGATCAGTTGAGATATTTTGAATTTAAATAAATGAAACTATTAGTTTTTATCTTCTATATAACTACGAGAGCTCACTTTGACCACTATAGTGTCGATGCTCGATTAAAATAAGGCATTGTTTATCTTTTTATCTAAAGCAACATACACAAATGAAACAAATTCTAAATAACATTAGCATTGATCGTTCGAAGTTATTCAAATACATAGAGTGAATGAACCAAACTACTTCACTTAACGATTCATGATTCACTTATGTGGACTTCAGATGTAAAGAAAATTTCCAATAGATGTCCTATGCGATCGTATTGTTTACCATAAAGATATTTACCATTATTATTTTTCTCTATTTTTGATAATATTTTTCAAGATATTAGTTCATTTCTCGAACTAACTGCTCTAGTTACGGTCAACGGACATTAAAAATACACAACTGTAACCTATCCGTAGTCAACTCTCCCTAGAATAATTCCCAGGGAGTCCCTAGAGATTCGTTCTTTTGCGGGGACTCACTGGAGAGTCATCGGGTGAGAGTGGATTAGGGATCTACAGTGTTTCTAACAGGAATCTAGAACAAAGAGTCTAATGACGTTTTATATGCACAGTCGAAGTATCACACTTTCTGAAATACAAATTTCCATACGGCTCTTGTGAAATTCTCGTTTTTGTCAAGCGAATTTTTGAACGTTTTATGCGGATGTTTGATTTGAATCCTGGAAATTTATACTTCTTAATGACCATGTGATTCTTCTTCAATACAACGCGAAGTGTGTGTGTGAAAGTACTTTGATTCAAGTGAAGAAAATATTGAAATGAATGGCAAAGATAAAATAATGACTGAAATATGATGCTTTGTGTAACGATATTTGTGTAGTGTATCGCATGCATATGTTTGATTTTCTCATTACTTCTAATCTGATGTATTGTTCGTATCCTTTTGTCCTTACTTCATACTTTCCACTTTATATTGTATGATGCCCTTAAAATGCCATGTAAGAAGAGTATAAAAGCGTATGCGTTGTATGTAATCGATGCGATTGATGATATGAAGAATCGAATAAAGCTAAATAACACTATTAAGCTTCTCTCTTCCATCAAAATTCGTCACACTTTGCATGATTGATCTTTATATATTTTAGACTCGTAACAAACAATAAAACCTTAAATCTACAAACCATTTATTTTATTTTATGTGATTAATCATTGTTCCTCTCTGCCAAAATTGAATACATTTTATAGTTTCTTCTAATTGTCACTCTGTTTTAAACATAGTTTCTCATCGCATGTCATCTATTGATATTCTCCAGAAATATACTATCTTTATCGTTTTATTTGATAGGATTTCTGTCGAAAACTTATTAGTTTTTTTTTATTAAAATGATATGTTTCATGCAGCTAAAATTCATACCATTGATTAACATTTAAGTTTATATTATGATTTTGTCAAGTTTGAATTTGTATCTGATTAATATTGTAATATTCATATAGAGTGTTATCTCATTTTTCTATATACCTGATGATGAAAAGAGTTTCTTATCGAAATTTCGAATAAAATAACTTCTGATTTTTGTTTAAAACCTATTATGTTCTTTGTAGCAGCTTTATGCTCATTATACTCTAGGCGTACGAATACACTGTAAAAAAATCGTAGGATACTAAACCTTAGTAGTAAAAAACAGTTTCATAAACCCTTCAAGGGCTTATGTTTTTGTCCTAAACTCTAAAACCGTTTATTGCCTGAAGTGTTTATGAAACTAAGGGTATTTGAAAATAAAAAGGGTTTACTGCACCAGAATTTAAGGGGAAGGGTTTGTCAGTCTACGATGAAGGGTTTATTATTCGATCCTTGTATTCAAATGGTTCCTTATTCTACGGCGAAGCGTTTATTATTGTACCCTTTCATAAAATAGTTTTTTCTGCTAAAAGTTGAAATCAGACAAGTCATCCATATATCAAAATGATGTTGACTGTTCTCGTTGATGACATTTATTCATCAAGTATTTTTGTGATTAGATAGGAAGTCGTACAATAGAAACAAAGATTAATGAAAAGTAGACTGAATAACTTTTGCTCAATCTATGTTGCAATAGCTTGTAATCTCACATTAAAATATATCAATCTCCATTAATTAGATCAGCCTGAAAAACAAAATGAAATTTTGTTTTATGTAGGTGACGCTTCTATAAAAAAAACGTAAGTATTTATTCATAAATCTTGAAGAGTTTCATCAGTAAGTTAAAACATTGTATGCAATTATAGGGACGCACCAATTCCAATTCCAGCCAATTCCAAGTCAAGAATTGGAATTGAATTGGTTGGAATTAGAATTGGTGCATCCCTAGCAATTATTTTTTTTAAATCAACCGCTTTTGATTTAGCTTCTTCCAATCGATCCGATCAAATCGAAGCATTACTTTTTATACATGCTTTTTTCCAGCCTTTTAGTTGGAGAGAAAAGAAAATTGTAAATCGTAGGTAAATATAATTGTTTTTATTAAAATTATTGGTCTTAATCTTTTAGTTTAATTTCACATTGAAAATTATAGGTAAGTAAAATCTTTGTGTTTTAATTATTGTTTTATCCTTTTAGTCCTATTTGAAATTGAAAATTGTAAGTAGGTATAATTTTTTTCTTGGAATTATTGCTTTTAATGTTTTAGTTAAATATAGAAGTGAAAATTCTAGTCAAGTATAATTTTTGTACTTGAATTATTCTTTTTTTATCTTTTAGTTAATTTACATTCAAAATCAAACGTAAATATAATTTTTCTTTCAATAATTTATACTTTTATTCTTTCAGCAAAGAACCAAATTCAAAATCGGACGTAAGTATAATTTTTCATTGAACAATTCTTATTTTTGTTTTTTTAGTTCAAAATTTGTAATCGCAATCACAAGTAAAATTTTCATTGAAGAATTCTTATTTTTATTCTTTCAGTGAAAAAACGAATTCAAAATCTAATGTAAGTATTATTTTTCTATCAATAATTCTTATTTTTATTACTTTAGTTCACAATTCGAGACCGCAATCGAAGGTAAGTATCATGTTTTATTAAATAATTCTTATTTTTATTCTTTTAGTTCAAAATTTGAAATCGTAATCGCAAGTAAATATAGTTTTTTTATTAAACAATTTTTATTTGTATCTTTTAGTGAAGAAAAAACTGTAAAATCAAGCGTAAGTATAATTTTTTTATTAAATAATTCTTATTTTTATGTTTTTTAGTGAAAAAGCAGGTTCAAAATCATAGGTAATTTTTTTTTAAATTATGTTTGTAATTTTCTCAAATAGATTTGCTTCAATGGCTCATGAAACTGAACTATGATTCTTAGCTAAAAGTAAGTTTCTCTAAACCTGTTACAAGGATATTTGAAAGGGTTTAGTAGGATACTAAACCCTTCTATATACCTTTCTATAAACCCTTTTGAAGAGTTTATGAAAGCGTTTATTGAATCCTGAAACGGTTTCATAAACGCTTCTAAGGGTTTATGATAGGGTTTATTACTTTCCTAAACCCTATCCTAAATCCTTCCAAAGGGTTTAGGAATGTTTTATGTACGGTAAAAATGGTTTGTGGTACGTTGCACTTTAATAAACCTTTTTAGTGTTTATGATTCTACGTTTTTTTTGTGAAACACGATCTGAAAGGAGTGCTGAAGTACATAGGGTAGAAATTTGGACCCCCCTCCCCGCAGACAGGGACAGAGAAATTAATTAATTAATTCATTAATTTCTCTGCCCCGGTCTGTGATGGTCTGTGAGGGTTTCTAGAGACTCCATACATCATAATACAGACTGTAATAGAGAAGCTCCAGAGACCACCAGTGACAGTAATAGACGAATTCCAGAAAAGAAGTTTCGTCGTGTTTCACACTTTTAATCCCAAAGGGATTGCGCTAACAGCTTTTTTTACAGTGTAGGTTATGACACATTTAATTAAAGCAATAACCTTGTATTAGATTTTTGCGTTCCACTTTTATTTTATATTTGATAATTTAACCTCAATCGTCGGTCTATATCATAATTAGTGGCGGAGCCAGAGGGGGGAGCTGAGCACGCCCTAGGAATTTTAGAGCTCACCCATAGGAAATTTTTAGTTCCTTAAATTTTTTTAGCTCCAATTAGACTACTAGACTTTTTCAAAGAAACAATTGCAATGCACATAGTGAAAGTTACTATAGCCACTTGTCTGTTTCTAGCCGATTAAGAATTATTATCTACTATTTCTTGTGTTCATATTTTATAAGCAACACTTTTATATCATTGTATGGATATTGATTGTGAATCAGATAGTGGAGCGTATTTATTTTTATCTTCATTCTATTAGATTTCACGATAAACTAATAACACGATTTAAAATATTGACGATAGAACACGGAAAAATTCCACACATGAAATGAAATATTGGTTCTAAGGAAGTGTCTTTTTTTGTAAATATTATAAATTATAGATAAACATGCAAAATAAAAGTTCTCAATGTAACTCTACGCTTAATAGTTTCGTTAGATCCAGTAAAATACCTCGAAATAAGCATACTATTCTAAATGTCACTTCGAATACGTCATCTTCATCATCATCTTCAACTACAACGAAATGTAATTAACTTATATGAAATAAATTTCAAATGGATTCTGATCATATCTTGATAGATATATACAAAATACATGACAAGAACAATAAGTGATTCAATAGGATATTTGGACGCACAGAAATGAATCAAACTTGAAGGTATTCAGAAAACATTTATACTATTGTAATTGTAAACAGGCTTTCGAAGGAAAATATGGAGCTCAGCTCCCCCAAGGCCAAAATTCTGGCTCCGCCGCTAATCATAATAGAATATCAATATAATAATCAAAACCTGTCAGTTTATAAAAATTGTATTTGCAAATCAAAATTAATCAATGCATATGCAGATTTGACTTACGTAGTTTTATAAACAATTCAAATACAATTAAATAAAGTTGATATAATTACATATAGTGCTGTCAATCAAAATATTAAAATTTGTAAAATATAGCTCAGAATTGAATGAAATTCTCCATATAATCTATAATTTTTTCTTTTCAGATTATATCATTCCTTCCTTTTATATTATTTTCTTTAAACCCTGTTAACGTTTTCTTGTTCCGCAATTCATTTGATTTTTCGCTCTTATCTTCATTTTTCTTTTCTTTCCTTTTTCCTTATATAGCCTAATTCAGAACGCTCAAGAGTGTTTATATATTTTAAAAAATAACACGAAAAGCGCAAGCGAAATTAAACTCTGCATTCTATTTTTGTTTTCTATTAATTTACCGAATTATTTCGACATACAATCGATGACTGAGAAGCAACACTTGATACTAGCAGCTAGAACTTGTCTTTTCGTTAAGAGATAGATATATTTGTTTTCAATTAATTTACATCAGCACCCACACCCTCTATTCCTCACTACATTTACGCTTGAATTAAAAAACATATGAAACGCCATTACCAGATTTTAGCATGGTTTTAATATAGCGCACAACCAGTAGGATACGAAGTGTTTACAAAACTGTAGCTACCAGGCGAGTCCGGAGAGGAATACGAAGTAATCCCATTCTTTGTACTACCACTGTAACCACTAATACCAGGCAGAATATTAACTATTACGATATATGTTACACCGTTCAGAATAACACCATTGTGAACAGCAGCAGCACCCAAGTCAGAATCATCAGTGTAAATGCCAGTGCCCCAAACCGAGTTCCAAACAACAGCAGTCACTAAAAATGGAATGGCTCGGCCCACCTGACACCGATAGTCGACCAGATTTGGCGGACTGGTAAGTTGGAAAAACGAGAAACTACCATTCCATCCACCCAATGGCAACGAGGTTATATTGTTACGTGATGAACCGACATACGACTTCTGTCCGGCCAATATTGTTACAATGATTATCTGGGTTTGACCCACTGAAAGGACACCCGAGTGTACCGCAGCGGCTGCTAGATTAGATTGGTCACCGTAGATGTCTGTTCCGTACACTGTTGCATTGCTTTTTACACCGTGAAGCAGAAAAGCAAACATTCGTCCGGCCTGACTCCGATAACTCGTCAAATTTGTTGGTGATGACAGACTGCCAAAACAAAAACTGGCTCCCCAGGCATCGAAAGACGAAGAACTTACTCCATTAAGAGTTGTACTTAAGTAGCTCGATTGACCGGCAAGAATAGTAACAATGACTATTGCGGTTTGCCCCTTAGCACGAACACCAGCGTGAACACTAGCAGATGGCAGGTCTGAATTTGTGGAGTAAATATCACTGCCACCAACCCAGACAATATATCCACCGCTGAGCAAAACTGGAAACGAACGCCCAACCAGAGCCTGATATGGATCGAGGGTTGATGGACTGATAAGTTGGAAAAAAGAGAAACTACC